GTGCATGCAGACACACAGATGGCACAGACAGACCCACATGGACACACTCAAGCACATGCGTGCATGCAGACACATGCATGGCACAGACACACGAACACACATGGACACAGACACTCAAGCACATGTGTGTATGCAGACACACACATGGCACAGACACACAGACCCACATGGACACAGACACTCAAGCACATGTGTGTATGCAGACACACACATGGCACAGACACACGGACACACATGGACACAGACACTCAAGCACATGTGTGCATGCAGACACACGGATGGCACAGACACACGGACCCACATGGACACAGACACTCAAGCACATGTGTGCATGCAGACACATGCATGGCACAGACACACAGACCCACATGGACACCCTCAAGCACATGTGTGCATGCAGACACACGGATGGCACAGACACACAGACCCACATGGACACAGACACTCAAGCACATGTATGCATGCAGACACATGCATGGCACAGACACACAAACACACATGGACACAGACACTCAAGCACATGTATGCATGCAGACACACGCACAGCAGACACACAAACACACATGGACACACACAAGCACATGTGTGTATGCAGACACATGCATGGCACAGACACACAGACCCACATGGACACAGACGCTCAAGCACGTGTGCATGCAGAGACATGCATGGCACAGACACATGGGCCCACATGGACACACTCAAGCACATGTGTGCATGCAGACACACACATGGCACAGACACACGGACACACATGGACACACTCAAGCACATGTGTGTATGCAGATACATGCATGGCACAGACACACGGACACAGCACTCAAGCACATGTCATGCAGACACACGCATGGCACAGACACACATGGACACAGACACTCAAGCACATGTGTGCATGCAGACACATGCATGGCACAGACACACAGACACACATGGACACAGACACTCAAGCACATGTGTGCATGCAGACACATGCATGGCACAGACACGGACACACATGGACACAGCACTCAAGCACATGTGTGCATGCAGACACACACATGGCACAGACACACAGACACACATGGACACGGACACTCAAGCACATGTGTGCATGCAGACACATGCATGGCACAGACACGGACACACATGGACACAGCACTCAAGCACATGTGTGCATGCAGACACACACATGGCACAGACACATGGACCCACATGGACACAGACACTCAAGCACATGTGTGCATGCAGACACACACATGGCACAGACACATGGACCCACATGGACACAGACACAAGCACACATGGGCACATGCATATACATGCACCTGCGAGCAGAGACAGATGACACAGACTCATGGACACATTAATGCACACACATATCAATGAAGCTGCGTAATCCAGTCACACGTGTACACACACATACTCACACATGTAGACAGATACACAGACCCAGCCATACATACATACATGAAGAGACAGACACAGATGCATAGACTTAGCTGCATGCATGGACGCATACTCACAACAGATACACACACATATACATGCATGCACAAACACCAATGCATGGACCCAGCCACACATAGGCACAAAGGGACACAGATGAACAGACCCAGCCACATGTTTGCATGCAGAGACATGCACAGCACACACACACATGCTCACATGTGGACGCAGACACACAAACCCAGCCACACACACACATGCATGCTCACATATAAATGCACACAGAGGGGACACAGACATACAACATACACACATACACAATGCCTGCAGAGATGCGCTGACATGCAGACCCACATGAATCCACACACACACACACACAGATGCAGACCCCAAAAGACTGACCAGACACAGAGCATCCACCACACACAGGGGACCCCACCCCACACAGCAGGGATCCAGGACAAATGGGAGGGTTGGCTGTGCACAGTGGTCTGTTCAGCCAGTCCACCCACCAGCGACTTGTCTCCTCAGCAGCCTGGCCGCCGCCTGCCCACCACCTGCACCCAGATTGAATTCAGCTATGGTTTCACTGCTGTCTCATTCAGGCCACCTGCTCCCTTGCTGGACAGCACACCTCCCCCTCCTGCCTGGGCACAGAGGCCCAAGCCCCGGGCCTCCCTGACCTCCAGAGCCCTGTCCCCCCAGGCAGAGCTATCCAGTGGCTTCACCCGGCAGAACCAAGGCTGAGGGCCCCAGACTGGCTCAGGAAGCCCACAGCAGCCTCTTGGTAGGAGCTATGCGCCTGGAATAGGGGGCCTGGACTGTTCCCATCAGGGACATAATCCCACATTCCTCAGCGGGCAGCCTCCTCCCCATTGCTGTGGTGGGCGTGGACCTGGAGGTCCGAGAGGGCACAGACCAGACACAAGGTGGCAGGAGAGGGGCAGGCAGGGTCTGGAAGGGCCAGCAAGGGGTTTCCAGCAGGGCATGCCATGGTGGTGGGGGACCCACGATGTGGGCTCAGAGGGCGATGGAGGTGAGGGGAAGGTGAGGACTGTGGGCCTGGGGCTGGCTCCTAGTCAGGGGGCTGTGCCCAGAAGACCCAGACACAGGGCAGGTGGATGATGAGGCCCTTCTGGGGACCTCCTTAAGGAAGAGGCTGTGTGCAGGAGTGGGGTGGAGCCAGGTACCTGAGAAGATGGGGCTGGACAGGGCTTCCTGTGGTATCCCAGGCCTTCCAGCCTGGACAGGGGAGGCACAGGGACCCGGGTGGGCTTGGGCCATACGGCAGCCTAGAGATGCCTGCCCAGCAAAGGTACCCAGTGTGGCTGGGAGACGGGGCTGCTCCACAGGGGTTCCTTCTTAGATCCTCCTCCTAACACGGTCCTCCTCCTCCTCCTCCTCAGGTCCTCCTCCTCCCCAGGGTCCTCATCTTCAGGGTCCTCCTCCTCCCCAGGGTCTTCCTCCTCAGGGTCCTCCTCCTCCCCAGGGTCCTCGTCTTCCCCAGATCCTCCTCCTCCCTAGATCCTCCTCCTCCCCAGGTCCTCCTCCCTAGGTCCTCCTCCTCCCCAGGGTCCTATTCCACCCCCGGGCCCTCCTCCTCCCCAGGGTCCTCCTCCTCCCCAGATCCTCCTCCTCCCCAGGGTCCTCCTCTTCCCCAGGTCCTCCTCCTCCCCAGGGTCCCCCTCCTCCCCAGGGTCCTATTCCACCCCAGGGTCCTCCTCCTCCCCAGGGTCCTCCTCCACCCCAGGGTCCTATTCCACCTCAGGGTCCTCCTCCTCCCCAGGGTCCTCCTCTTCCCCAGAGTCCTTCTCTTCCCCAGAGTCCTTCTCTTCCCCAGAGTCCTCCTCCACCCCAGGTCCTCCTCCCCCCCAGGGTCCTCCTCCACCCTAGGGTCCTCCTCCACCTCAGGGTCCTCCTCCTCCCCAGGATCCTCCTCCACCCCAGGGTCCTCCTCCTACACAGGTCCTCCTCCACCCCAGTGTCCTCCTCCTCCCCAGGGTCCTCCTCCCCCCCAGGGTCCTCCTCCACTCCAGGGTCCTCCTCCAACACAGGTCCTCCTCCACCCCAGTGTCCTCCTCCTCCCCAGGGTCCTCCTCTCCCCAGGGTCCTCCTCCTCCCCAGGTCCTCCTCCACCCCGGGTCCTCCTCCTCCTCAGATCCTCCTCCACCCCAGGTCCTCCTCCTCCCCAGGATCCTCCTCCTCCCCAGGGTCCTCCTCCTCAGGGTCCTCCTCCTCAGGCTCCTCCTCCACCCCAGGGTCCTCCTACTCCCCAGATCCTCCTCCACCCCAGGGTCCTCCTCCTCTCCGGGTCCTCCTCCTCCTCACGGTCCTCCTCCTCCTCACGGTCCTTCTCCTCCTCAGGGTCCTTCTCTCCCCAGGTCCTCCTCCTCCCCAGGATCCTCTTCCTCCCCGGGTCCTCCTCCTCCTCAGGGTCCTCCTCCCCAGATCCTCCTCCACCCCAGGGTCCTCCTCCTCCTCCTCATGGTCCTTCTCCTCCTCAGGGTCCTTCTCTCCCCAGGGTCCTCTTCCTCCCCAGGGTCCTCCTCCACCCCAGGTTCTCCTCTCCCCAGGGTCCTCCTCCCTGGATCCTCCTCCACTCCAGGTCCTCCTCCTCCCCAGGATCCTCCTCCTCCCCAGGGTCCTCCTCCTCAGGGTCTTCCTCCTCCCCGGGTCCTCCTCCACCCCAGGGTCCTCCTCCTGCCCAGATCCTCCTCCACCCCAGGGTCCTCCTCCTCACGGTCCTTCTCCTCCTCACGTTCATTCTCTCCCCAGAGTCCTCTTCCTCCCCAGGGTCCTCCTCCACCCCAGGTTCTCCTCTCCCAAGGGTCCTCCTCCACCCCAGGGTCCTCCTCCTCTCTGGATCCTCCTCCACCCCAGGTCCTCCTCCTCCCCAGGATCCTCCTCCTCCCCAGGGTCCTCCTCCTCAGGGTCTTCCTCCTCCCCGGGTCCTCCTCCACCCCAGGGTCCTCCTCCTCCTCACGGTCCTTCTCCTCCTCAGGGTCCTTCTCTCCCCAGGGTCCTCTTCCTCCCCAGGGTCCTCCTCCACCCCAGGTTCTCCTCTCCCCAGGGTCCTCCTCCACCCCAGGGTCCTCCTCCTCCCCGGATCCTCCTCCACCCCAGGTTCTCCTCCTCCCCAGGGTCCTCCTCCTCCCCGGGTCCTCCTCCACCCCAGGGTCCCTCTCCTGCCCAGATCCTCCTCCACCCCAGGGTCCCTCTCCTGCCCAGATCCTCCTCCACCCCAGGGTCCTCTCCTCCTCACAGTCCTCCTCCTCAGGGTCCTTCTCTCCCCAGGTCCTCCTCCTCCCCAGGGTCCTCTTCCTCCCCGGGTCCTCCTTCTCCCCACGTCCTCCTCCTCCTCAGGGTCCTTCTCTCCCCAGGTCCTCCTCTTCCCCAGGCCCTCCTCCCTAGATACCCCTTCTCCTGAAAACCTCCGCCTTCCTCCTCCCTGATCCCTCCTCCCCATTCCTCCTCCTTCCCAGGCACACCTCCACAAACCCACCTCCCCTCCAAGCCTCCTTTCTTGTCCTCCTCCTCAGGCCCACAGAAGCCCCTGTGAAGGCAGCAGACTGAGATGAGGCTATAATTTAAAATACATTTATTTCGTGTTTCCATTTGTTTCCGGTTCTGTGACACAAAGCTGTTAAATAAATACATTCTCCACAGTCCCTCTGGGACGGGCCACACAGATGAGGTAGAGAAATCATTGCACGCATGGAGACTCGGAGCACACACGGGGCCCCTCCCGCCCACCCACACCTGGCCAGAAGCCACCCGGGGGTCCAGGTTCCTCAGGACAGGGCCCGGTGCAGAGAAGGTGGCTGGGTCCCCTGGCCAAGGAGCGGGCCGAGCCCCTCCCAACAGCCCTTTGTCCTCTACTGCCCCACAGAAGAGAAGCGCATGAAACAGGAGGCTCCGGCCAAGCGGCCTCTTAATCCAGCAAGACATTCCAATATATGTTTGTATAGAAACCAACTCGCGAGCAGACATTTTCAGTCTGCCTTGTTTAAAAAAATACTTTTCTGAATACTTATGACATAGAGCTAAATGTGATATTTGATTAAAAATAAAAACCTTCCTCTGACTTGACGCCCTTCATAGACCCAATAGTGACTGAGCGACAGTCTTGTCATGTCATGAGGGTGTGTGGCCAGCTGTGCCTCTCGGGGTCCGGTGGGTACGGACACAGCAGAGGGCAGGGGCCACCCCCCGCCAGCCAGGCCTGCACCAGACCAGGGACAAACCCAGCGTCCTGTACCCACACTGCGGTCTAGTGACACAGCCACAGACACGTGTCCGGTGCCCTCTGAACCACAGGAGAATAAACGTTCTTACGTACTACAACACAGGAATGGCGAGACCCACAGCAACATAAATAGGTTTTCTTTTAAAAACACAGAGCCCCCGCCGGGCTTTCTGGAGACCTTTGGGGCTCTGAGACACCCATTCATTCAGTAGTTCCTGTGTCCACACTGTCAGCCCACCCAGAACCCAGCCCACAGCTGCTGGAACACCCACCAGATGGAGCCCGGGGCGAGAGGCTCTGAGAACCTAAGGCAGCACCATGCCACTGACAGCAGAGCACGGCCAAGCTGACCACGCCAGTACATGCACTCACACACACTGACCATGCCAGTACATGCACTCACACACACTGACCACGCCAGTACACACACACACACACTGACCATGCCAGTACATGTACTCACACACACTGCCCACGCCAGTACACACACTCACACACACTGACCACGCCAGTACACACACTCACACACACTGACCACGCCAGTACACACACACTCACACACTGACCATGCCAGTACATGCACTCACACACAGACCACACCAGTACATGCACTCACACACTGACCACGCCAGTACATGCACTCACACGCACTGACCACGCCAGTACACACACGCACAGACCACGCCAGTATATGCACTCACACACACTGACCACGCCAGCACACACAAATGACCATGATAGCACACACACAGATGCCAGTACACACACACACACACACACACACTGACCATGCCAGTATACACATGCATATACAGACCACACCAGCACACACACACAACCAACCACACCAGTATACACACACAGATGACACCAGTACACACACAGACACACACACTGACCACTGACCACACCAGCACACACACCACATTCACACACATGCAATGACCATGCCAGCACACACACACACCCACACCAGTGCACACACTCACAACACACACATACCACACCCTCAAACCAAGCCAGGTTAGTGCAAGGCACACTGTCCCCAGCAAACACAACAGCAGGGCCATAAAGCACGGCGTTCTGTGGCCAGATGCGAGCCTGAGACTCCCTCCACTGGCCTCTGTCCCAATCTGTCCCCTAGTAACACAGTGAGGAAGAGCAAGCGGCTTCCTCATGATATGACATGAACCAAAGGGCCGTCCTGCCCCTCACAGCGCCCACACCCCACCACCAACTCCAGCCCAAGAATCTGCGCGGAGCCGCCAGGCTGGGCCCTCTGCCCACAGGGTGCAGGGCAGGGGCCCCTACTGGCCCACCACGTGGCAGTGGCCAGCTGGCACGGGGTGAGGGGAGCTGGCTTCCAGAAGCCCCGAGGGCTGTGGCCAGACACAGCTCACCGTGTTTTCTTAACTACACAACAATCTCGATTTAGTGGTTTCAAACGAAGCAGATCAGAGGCGGGGTTGGGAGGCAACAGGTCAGGGACGGAGGTGGGGCCTCCCAGACTGGAGCTTAGCTGAGAGCGGGAGGTGGCAGGGATGGAGAAAATAATAATTATTATATTAGTTAAATAATCATAATAATTTAAAAGTCACTGATATTTACTCCAAAGAGAAGTGCTCAACGTCGGAGGTCGGCAGTGTCCCCCCAGCCTGGGCACCTGCATGGCCGGGCCCTGCGGGGGCGGAACAGGCTGCGTCCTCCTCTAGTGGTTTCACTCTCCGAAGACAGTGCTGGTGTCGGGGCAGCCTGGGCCAGGCCAGTCCCCACGGGCAGCCCACACACAGGCCACATGGTCATCAAGGTGCACCTGCCCCTGTGCCTCAGAGGCGGTGGGGAGCAAAAGCCAGTGGGCTGGCATGGGGCGCTGCTCCCCGGGGACTGGTGTGCTGGGGACGGGAGACAGCTCAGAAAGCATTGGAGCAATGCTCTCGGGTCAGATGGAGGAGGTCGTGGCCCAGGGCGTAAGCAGAGGTTGCACACACCAGACCAGAGCCAGCTCCTGCCTCTGGGTGCTGGAGATGGGGAGACACAGGGCTTAGATAGCCAATTCAGATGGCCCCCGTCCCCCTGCTTCAGCTGTATGCCCCAGGGTGCCAGGAAAGACCCTCAGTCCTTGCAGGTGTAGACCCCTCACACTGTGTGCATGGCCCTCACCCTACACAGCAGGGATGGCCAGGCCTGGGCACTCGTCCCCTGCAGGTGGAGACCTTCTCACACCATGTGCAATACCTGCACTCGGAGCAGCAGGGCTGGCTGGGCCCAGACACTCAGCCTTGCAGATGGAGACCCTCCACACCGTGTGCAATGCTGGTACCCCACACAGCTGGGGCTGGGCCCAGACACTCAGCCTTGCAGGTGGAGACCCTCCATGCCGTGTGCAATGCCGGCACCCTGGGCAGCTGGGCTGGGCCCAGACACTCAGCCTTGCAGGTGGAGACTGTCCATGCTCTGTGCAATGCTGGCACCCCGGGCAGCTGGGCTGGGCCCAGCCACTCAGCCTTGCAGGTGGAGACCCTCCATGCCGTGTGCAATGCTGGTACCCCACACAGCTGGGGCTGGGCCTAGACACTCAGACTTACAGGTGGAGACCCTCCACACCGTGTGCAATGCCTGCACCCCGGGAAGCAGGGCTGGCGGGGCCTGAGGACTCAGCCCTTGCAGGTGTAGACCTCCTCGCGCTGCGTGCACTGCCGGCACTCCACGTAGCAGCACCAGCGCACCTGACACTGGCAGGGCCTCGTCACCACCCGGCTCTGTGTGTTATGGCCGCGACCGCAGCAGATGCTCTCGCAGTTCTTCTCGCGGTGGCACCTGCGGCCAGCGGTGCCTGGGGAGAAGCGGCCGGCCAGGCAGAAGCTGGGTGAGTCGTCCAAGTGCACAAGCTCCGGAGTGCGGGGCAGCGGGTCACCACCCCCCGCCCCTGAGACGCGGCCTCGCGGCGGGGAGATGGCGCCTGCCTCGCCGGCAGCCTCGTTGGTAATGCTGCCCACCTTGAGCGCCGTCTCATACTTGTGCTTCAGGTGCTTGCCCACCTCGTGGAAGGGCGCCAGCTGCCGCCAGCAGGTCCGCACCGTGCAGGAGCCTGACACACCGTGGCACTTGCAGGTGGTCTCCACCCCGGCCTTGATCACCTGGCAGGACAGAGCAGGAGGGAGGACAGCGTGAGGGCTGTGTAGGGGGGGCAGTGAGCGGCCCCTGCCCCTGACCCCCCTGCGGACCCGTGCCTCCGCCCAGGCCACCACTGCGTATCCCACATCCAGCTCAGGCTCCTAGCATGCACGGCCACTCTGCCTCCTCCAGGCTGTTGACTGCCAGGACAGAGGCTCCAGGCACCTCAGCCCCCAGGTGCCCCTGCACCTCCACAAAGCCCACACTGCATTGGGGGCTGCCCTCGGCAGGGGCTGGAGCTTCTGTCCCCATGCTCATAATCCCAGTCCCACCAGGACTTCATGTCTGCTCTCAGCACAAGACTCGCTGGACAGGTGAGGACAAGCATGGCCTCATCCAGTGGTGTATGTGTGAGCTGACCGTGACTTCCCTACCCCTAGTATCGGGAACCAGGTGCTATCACTTGTGCAGACACGGCCCCCAGCCCACGAGCGCTGAGGGTCAGGCTGCTGGGAGGCCAGTGCAGGCACTGCAGGAGCAGGGAGGCCTATGCTGTGGGTGAGAGGGGCTCCTGGGGGGAGAGAGCCCCTTACGCCTCGATAGAGGGTCCAGGCTAGCCCCAGAAAGGGGTGCACCCCTCACCCACAGCAGGGAGGGCCAGGTACCCACAATCCACACTGGGGACTGCTACAGAAGCCTGGCTAGGTCTGTCCCCTCCTGGGACTTCGGGCCCCACCTGCAAAGATGGGCCCGGTGGGGAGGCCCCTTCCCAGGTGAGACCTGAGCCAGGCGGCTCAGCTCCCAGGCCAGCAGCCCCCAGGAGGGCTGGTTCAAGGATAAAGACATGGCAGCCGCCTCTGGCCAGCAACCGAAGAGTCACATTTTATGATGCTTTGCAGAGAAGCCGGGACCAATCTAATTAAAAAGCTCTGCGGAGCTAAGGGAGCACCCTTCCTGTTCCCACTTCTCATTAATCTCTTACAAAGCGTGAAGAGGGGAAGTGGAGGTCAGGCACAAAGGAAAAGAAGGAGCCTTACCTGGGGCTTGAATCCACTCTGCAGCCCCTCCCCTGCCCACCAGCCATCCTGAGAAGGCGGAAGGAGGCACGAGAGGCCCAAAAGGGGAGGCTGATCCTTTAGAAAGGGGGCTACTGGGGGCTTGGACTTCTCCACAAGCGAGGCTCACAGCAGGCCCGGCTCTCACTACCGCACCCTCCCCAGGCTAGGGCTCCACATTCCTGGCCTGCCTGGTGAATATGAAGATGAGGGCAGGAAGGAGAAACGCCCCTCAGCTTCTAGCAGATGTGCCTACCCTGCCCATCCCTGCTCAGGGACTGCGGAGATGCTGGGGGCTCTGTGCAGAGTGGGGTTACAGGGTCCAGCCTGGACTCCCCCAGACATGTAGACCTGGGCACTGAACCGCTGTAGGTAGCACAAAGGATGAGCAGAGAGCCGCAGTCACCCCTGGCCAGCCACGGCCGCAGCCAGCGCCCCCCTCCCGCTGAAGGGCTTGGGAGAGAGCTGATTCCCTTTCCCTCCAAATCTTTAGGGCAGGATTCTGTCCCTCAGAACAGAGGCCTGGCCACGGAGAGGGCTGCTGGGGCAGAACTGGACTCCCCTGATTTGGGTGAGTGGGTGCCATACCCCTAGCCCTTCCCCGGGACCTGCTGCCCACCATGCCTGCCACCTTGGTCTGCAGGACACGTCTTACTCCCACCAGTCTTGGTGACAAGCCTGCTGGCTGGCTGGCACATGAAACCCACAGTCCCATGATCCTGGTTAGACCGCCTAACCAGGAACACCCTCCTGGGGCCCCACGGGGACCGGGCAGACATGGGGCACCCCTCCATGGCTACTGCCCCGTTTGGTGGGTAGGGAGCCATATGGGCATGAAAGGTTCTAGGCCCCTGGCTGGCACTGCACAGCCTCCACCCTCTTACAGGGAACACTCAGCTATGTGCCACCCTGCCCTGTAGCAGCCCCACCCCACCCACCTGGTGCTCTTCCTTCTGGCCCTCCCCTCCCACCCGCCAGCCCTGCGCCCTGCCCCACTTGCCTTCACACCCACGAGGTTGTTGTGGAAGTCCACGCGGGCTCGCAGATCCTTGCTGGACCGCCGGCCCAGGAACTCCTTGACGAACTTGCTGCTGTACTTGAGGTTGTCCCCGCAGCCCCCCCACTGCCAGGCCTCGCGGTTCTCCAGGTCGGGCGCCTCATCACAGGTACAGCGCTCCATGCGGCCCGCGCTGCATGCCTTGGCCAGTGCGTGGGTCAGGCCAGCCGAGGAGATGGCATAGAGGAAGGCGGTCTCCTTGAAGCCTGGGGTCGGCATGGGCGGGTCGGTGAGCTCCCCCTTCACTGTGCTGAGCCAAACCACCCCAAGGGTATGAATCCCATGTGGGGGCTCCAAGCATTTTTCCTGGGGCTGCGCTCAGGACAGGGTGTGGACGTGCCCCAGGCACAGGGCTGGCTGGGGTGGGGAGAAACCAGAGCCGCCTTGGCCATGGCTCCGGGTCCGTGGTCACAGTCCACGTCAGGGTCTCGACCCTCCCAGCCTCATCATGGGGCCACTGGCAAGCTCTGCCTTGCCCTGGGCCTCGGGTCCCCAATTTCTAAACAAGCTACTGCAGTGCAGGGGCACACGGCTACAGCCCCAGCCACCCCCGGGCTGAAGTGAGAGGGTCATTGAAATAGGCGCTGGAGAGGAGAGCCCCTGGGAGGGGGTGGGAGGAGCCCCAGGTGGGAGGGTGGCTGAAATAAGGTGGTGGAGAGCCCCCATGAGGGTGGGAGGAGGTTCTGCACAGGCACAGCCCACTGGGCACTGGGCCATCTGGCAGAAGCCAAGGGCTATCAGGGCAGCCCCGGGCAGCCTGGGTCCCCATCTAAAGCCAAGCCAGCACACCCTGGCCACCAGCAATGACTGTGCCTATAGCAGGGCAGGGCAGGTGGTGCCCAGGGAGCTAAGGGGCTACCCTTTCCTCTGGCAGGCTGGGCCTGGGTCCCCAGGAGAGCAGCCCAAGAGGGGCCTCTTGGGACACGGATGAGGCCTGGGCTGCCGCCTCTGCCTCAGCCTCCCTGAGGGCCAGGCCCGCCACACTCACCTCTCTTGAGCAGGCTGGCCCGGTAGCGGCCCTCCAGCGTGCAGTTCCAGCGCTCAAAGCGGAACTGGAACTGGCACTCCAGCGCGCTCATGCTCACGGCCTCCAGCAGCGTCTCCGCCACGCCCGGGTCCCGGCGGCACATGCGCCGCTGCTTCCGCTCCAGCTTCAGCCGGTCGCAGGCCTTGTAGTGCGCCTGGGCGGCCGCCTCGGGCTCCAGGGTCAGCGGGAGGACGGTCAGGGGCTCGCTGCCCGTCAGCCTGGGCACAGAGAGGTCAGCGTGAGCCCGGCCCCGGGAAGCCCTGCTGGAGCTGGGCCAGATGTGTCAGTGGCCAGGGGACAGGGGACAGGCGTGTCCATCCGCAGGTGAGAGGGGCAGACAGAACCCAGGATGAGCCAGGCAGGGGAGGGAGGAACACCCACGGCCCCCATTCCAACGAGCATGGTCTCAGCAACCGCACGGCTGACTCTGCTGCTGACTCCACCCCCACACCACGTTTCAGGAAGTCTAGCTGACTGGCCACACTGGACGGACGAGACCCCCACAACACACACATACGCAAGAGGACAGCCTGGCCCAGAACTGTGGGCAGGGAGGAGGCTCTGGAGCCTGAATCCCAAGCTACGCCTGATGGGCATCTGCCACACCCTCCACCTTCTTCAGCCCCACCCAGCTGACCCAGCGTGAGGTCACCCCACCCTCTGCCATGACCCCCTGTGGCCCCTGGAGCCTCCTAGCACTCCTACAGTCTGCGCAGATATTCCCAGGGTCCGGCTGGGGTGTCCCCACCTCAGTGGCTCGGTGTGCGGCGCTGAGAAGCTGGCTCTTGGTTCCCTCTACTCCCCTCACCTCACCAAGCCTGGACACCCTCTTTGCAGGACAGACCCCATCTAACCCATCCCTTAAGCCACTCCTGGGGGCCTCTGAGCTAAGGCACACCACCCTCCATCTTCACACGAGGCCCGAGCCGCCGCAGCACTGAGGACGCACCCCCAACCTCCACTGCTCCAGGGACCCGGCTCCACCCCACTGGGTGCCCCCTGTCTCCAGGCCGCTGCTGGGAGGCTCACTGCACAGGCGTTCCTCGCACCCCACCCTGGCCTAGCCGAGTTCACACTGAGCCAAGGCCGCCCATGTCACGTGTCAGACATGCCAGCCCAGTGTCCTCACACTGAACATCGGGGGCCCCAGGCACAGCCCCATGGGGAGGGCAGGAGGGACCCGCCAGTCTTGGAGCCTAGATGCTGCTGTGGGCTGATGCTGGGAGAGGCCTGGGGTGAGGGAAGTACGTGCAGTGCTCACAGGTCCCTTCAGACACCCTGGGGGTCAGTACAGGAGCACCGGTGGCGCTGTGGGCATCCATGCACAGAGGCTTCCAAGTCCCAGGTCCAGCGATGGGATATCCCAAGACAGCTGGGCACACAGAGCCGGGCGGGGGTGGGGGACACGCTGGGGAGCAGAGCCAGGAGAGCCGCACTCCACACACAAAGGCAGCCTGCAGACGGGGACCTCCATCCCCAGATGGAATGCCACAGCTGTGCCCAGAAGAGCCCTCAGGACAACAGCCTCCCACCTGTGCCTCTCCCTAGGCCTGGACCTGCCAGGACCCACAAGCCCAAGCCAGTGTCCAAGAAAACCCCTACAGCCAGGCTGGCACAGGCCCTCCACAAGTGTGGACAGGGGACAGGGAGGCAGGAGCCGGAGGGCGCTAGGAAGAGGGGGAGGGGAGGAGAGGAGGGGCCCCATCGACCAGAGCCAGCCCTCCCTCCCTGTCAATGGGGACTGGGAATATCAGCCTGCCCTGCCCCCTCCCTGTGACCCACCACCTTGCCCACACTGATCAGGGTGAGGCCTGAGCAAGTCGGGGCACTGAGAACTGGTTTGACAGTGGCAAACCGATTCCTCCAGCCTTCCCTAGGGCATCCCTGGAGCAGGTGGACAGCAGGACAGCAAGTGTGGCTGCACCTGGAGACTTGCTGGGCAGCTGCCCTCCCCTCCGGCCCCAGGACACCACTCCATCAGAGGCAGCTCTATAAACGCAGCCGCAGGGGACTGACCCTGATCCAAGGCTAGGCAGGGTGGGCTGTCAGCATTGGCAAAAGGGTGTGGAGGGATGGTGACGCCCAGCCCAGGGGCCACGGGGGGCAGCCTGAGGCCCTAGGGCAACGCCATTCCCTGGAGTAGTCACTGAATGCTGTGCTGCTCTGACCATGCCTTCTTAAGCCCCCACCCCTCACCTCTCCTGCCCGGGGGGGCCCCCTGCCCCATGCCCCCTTTACTGTCAGGGTGGGCTCAGCATTAGCCAACCAGGGGGACTCAGAGCCTCGGGGGCTGCAGCTCTGAGGATAAATAGGCAGACGGCGCCACCAGGCACACTGAGGAGCATGGCGGGCAATCTTGGGGACTGAGCCCAGCAGAGGAGGCCCAGACCCTCCTGACAGGTGCGGCTCTCAGGACAAGAACCTGCCACAAGGGCTGAAGAAGGGAGGTGTGGTTCCCAACACAACCTCAGAACTGGGAAGCTTCTTCCATGACACTCAGAACCCAGAAGACGCTGAAAAGCAAATACATTTGACTACTTAGAAGTATAAAAATCTCTGCATGGCAATGACAAAAAGAGGTGGCACGAAGTCATCTGGGGCAAACCCTGCGACTCCCATCCAGACCACGGCCCAGCGCTGTGCACACGTGTGTCCACATGTGTGTGCCTGGATGCAAATCTCTTCCTATAAACCAATAACAAACGAACCGACTGAAGACAGACAATGAGTATAAACCCACAGGTCAAGGGAAGGAAAGCAACTGGCTCTTCAAACCCTTGAGCCGACACTCAGCCCCGCTCCAAGACATGCTGTGCCTGCTGTCCCAGCCGCTCCGGAGACCGTGACGGGAGGGTCGTTTAAGCCCAGGAATGGGAGAGCAGCCCAGGCAACAGAGCAACACCCCATCTCAGAAAATATATATTAGATAGATAGATAGATAGATAGATAGATAGATAGATAGATGATAGATAGATAGGTACATTATGCTTCGTTAATTAATACACACGTATCGAATGTGATGAGAATACTGCTAAGGACACGGGGAGACACTGTCATCCCATCATGGCTGGAACTCCAGACCGACATGTAACCCACCGCAGGTCTCTGAATGTTTGCATCTTCCCCAAATTCATAGGCTCAAACCTAACACCATCGAAGTGCTGGCATTAGAGGTGGGGCCTCTGGAGGGTGATTGGGTGGTGAACCGGATTATGTCCTTAGAGACCCCAGGCCAGGTGCGGCGGCTCACCTGTGTAATCCCAGCACACGGGGAGGCTGAGGCGGGAGGATCACCTGAGGTCAGGAGTTCAAGACCAGCCTGGGCCACATATTGAGACCTGGTCTTTACAAAGTATTTAAAAATTAGTCAGGCACGGTGGTGCATGCCTGTGGTCCCAGCCACTCAGGAGGCTGAGGTGGGAGGACCACTTGAGCCTGGGAGGTCAAGGCTGCAGTTAAAATACTAATAAAATAAAAATAAATAAAAAGGGCCCTAGAGAGACCGTTGCGTGAGGACATGGTGAGGAGGCACTGTCCATGAACCAGAAAGTGCCCCCTCCAGACACGGAATCTGCTACACCTTGACCTTGGACTTCCGGCCTCCAGAGCTGAGCAGCACACTCCTGTGTTTTGCAGGCTCACAGGCTGTGGTGTTTCGCCACAGTAGCTGCGTAGACTAAGACGCCTGACAGTTCTCTTTCTGGAAGCACAGGCTACACATGCATTGCACCTTCCCGGCACGCCATTCAGCGCAGGCTTGTGACAGGAACGTGCTGGAGACAGCAGTAGAGCAGCCGCGAACATGGGATCCACATGCTCCGTGGCGTGTCACGTGGTCCGTGAGAGGCAGCGCCCGTGTGCATCCATGCCGAGTCGCCATGGGCGTGCTCAGAGGACAAGCGGAGCCCAGCGGTATGTGCATAAGCTCAGCAAGCGCTGCACGTGCGTGCGCGTCTGTGGCTGCACCGGACCAATCATTCCCAAGATGGAGAAAGCGCATTCTTCCCCACACAGCTGTGAGTTGTGCCGGTGCATGGATGGCCTATCCAGAATCCACGCAGCTTGTGCCACACTCAGCAAATGGTCCAGACCTGGGCCCGGGAGGTGAGGGCTGCAGTGAGCCACAGTCACACCACTACATGCCAGCCTGGGTGACTGAGTGAGACTGTCTATAAACAGAAAAAGCAGCTTACATCACCCCGGTTTATACGAAGCTGACAGCAGCCACCCTGGTCTTGTTCTTCACCTTCAGAGGAACGCCTTCAACATTTCAGCATGAAGCCTGACGCCCAAACACCGTTTCAGGCCCCAGAGGCACCTCTGGTTCTTTGTTTCTAAGAACCTTTAAAATCATAAATGGGTCCGGGCACAGTGGCTCACACCTGTAATCCCAGCACTTTGGGAGGCCAAGGAGGGCAGATCACTTGTGGTCAGGAGTTAAGAGACCAGCCAGGCCAACATGGTGGAACCGTGTCTCTAAGAAATAATAACACAAAAATTAGCCAGGCGTGGTGGCGCAGCCTGTAATCCCTGCTACTCGGGAGGTGGAGGCAGGAGAATCACTTGAACCTGGGAGGCGGAGGTTGCAGTGAGCCGAGATAGCACCACCGCACTGCAGCCTGGACAACAAGAGTGAGACTCCATCTCAAAAAAAGAAAAATCCTAAGTGGATACTGAATGTTATAGAATGTCGTCCCTACATCTTTTGAGGTATGACTCCTCCCTCATAAGGTGAGAAGCTAGAGAAACTGACTGACGGTCTGTGGGAGTTTGTCTTCCCAGACTCAACCTGGCCAGGACAGGCTCCGTCCTTTTCTCCAGGGCTGGCTGTCTTCTGACAGTGTCTTCCTAGGATTTTCACACCCGTGTGTGTGATCTTCGTCCCACTGAGTTTCAGTGCCTGGGTGAGGGGTCCTCTGTTTAACTTTCCTGGAAGAGTTTGTATCAGGTGAGAATTGTATCTTGTTTGTTTGTTCTGAAGAACTAACCATGAAGCCGTCTAAGGACTGAGCTATTCTTGGAAAAGATTTCCTTTCTGATCCAGTTTTTCTTTTCTTTCTGAATAGCTTTACTGAGATACACAGGCACACCTAGGAAATCTTAAAGCTTTGCTTCCAGACCATCGCAGTAAAGAGAAGGTCACAGCCGGCAGTGGCTCACGCCTGTCATTCCAGCACTTTGGAAGGCCGATGCAGGTGGATCATGAGGTCAGGAGTTC